TCTTCTCTCACTGTTATTTGCCCTGTTCAGCACTATCATCTCATGTGTCCAGTAGTTTCTCATGGGCTGTTGTTACCTAAACCTTGTCATCTCCCACTGTGTTTTAATAACAAGCATCTGCTCAAGTGCTTTCCTAAAGTGTGCCTTGAATTCATATTTCTTCCAATATCTGTGCATGTGTATCTTAAATCGCTCAAGTCCATTTGGCCTTCCTGCTTACTTAAACTGATTCATGTGCATAAATGCAAGACTTTCAAACTGAAAAATCATACCCAGTTGGTTTATTGGCAAAATTTGTATTCTTCACTTGGGATGCCGTATCTGGCCCTGTGCTAGTCAGATGACAGGTGTGGTTTCCAGCCAGACTTCCATTTAGCAACAGTACAGTAATTAAAAGGATCTGTCTAAAGAAATTGTGCAAATTAGAGCAGACAGCTGTTAGTTGAAAAGAATAAGCACTTTATTTTTAATAGCCAGCTCTTGGACTACTGCCAGAGATGCTTGTGTTAGATCTTCTGGATAAAATTTTTCCTTCGACCATTAAAAACTTAAGCAAAAAGAAGTCTTCTAGCAAAATAATGATGAGAAACAGCCAACAAAGGGAAAGTATGTTCCTAAACCTGAGGATACCCTGAAGATCTTCAGATTTAGCATGGATCTGGTGGTGAAGTTACTCTGTCAAAGCATCAAGGGGATCGATGGATTCATCAAGGTACATGGGAATTGAATTCAGTGCAGAGAGATCCCTCCACCATTCTTATGTACCAACAGGAGACTTTTCTATGCCCCTGGTAGAACAACTAATGGTTGTGTGCAGTTGGGAACAATGACCATAGCTTTTTTCAATCTTTTCCTACATGAACTGCCAAATGGATATCCAGAAACACGAGTAGTTCATGAATCTTCCCACTAGCAAGTTAAGTTCTGCCTCCTTTAACACAGCAGCTCACAGCCTTCAAATCAAGCATGTGCTGAAATAGTTTATTGCATCTAACGAATAAGTCCCAAAAGGTGAGACCTATAAAGATGTTTAGGAATGGAAGTACCACTTGCCTGACATCCATCCACTGGGTGGATAATATACTGGACTGTGATCCAGAAAAACTTGGATTCACTTATGTTTCTTCCATCTCGGAAGCTCGGAAGTATCTGTGCTTCTGTGCAAAGGCACTGTAGGGTCCCTGATCCCCTTCAAGTGCCTCTTGAGTTTTGATGATAAAAAACAAAGAACCATGGCACTAGCTTGTGGATTCATAAAGTTAACTAACACTCATTGCACAAATCAAAGTAATAAGTGTGAGTATGAAGTTAGAGAACAAAGAGCAAAAATAGAAATCAGGGAGAGAATATGATACATTCTTTCCAAAACCCTACTTGCAATCTTTTCCTTCCTCTTTCTGACTGATTCACTTTTTCTCCTCCTTCCCCATTCATGATTGTCATCTTGTCTCCTTTTCTAGGAAAACCTCTTTTTCGTAATGGAATACCTCAATGGAGGAGACCTCATGTTCCATATCCAGAGCTGTCATAAGTTCGACCTTCCCAGAGCAACGTAAGATGATATTATTGATGTTTCACTTGTAAGTCCAATGCAGTAGAAGCAAAAAGGGAAGCTGGGGGAACTGGAGCTCTTAGTGTTATTTTTCCCCTTCTGCAACTGTCCTGTGGGGTTAACCTTCATTTCTTTGCACACAATTGTGTTCTCAGCCATCTCTAAAACCACACAGCTTTTGCTTTATAACTCCATGAGTAGTTTCTAGCTAAGCTGCTCAAACCGAGATTGCCAGCCCAGAGACCAAAGGCAAAGCTATTGTTTGGTAGAAAAGAAAAAAAAAAAAAAGTTTTCCCTTTGAGCTTTGAAAAAAAAGGAAAAAGAAACAAGTGATAAAACCTATCAGAAGTGCAAGAGGCAAATTTAAAAAAAAAATTAATACACCAACAGAGGATTAAAAATTTGTTTAGCTGTGATTAAAATAAATAGGGAATTAGAATAAATTTAAAAAATTTAAAAATCTTTCTGCGAGCAAAAGGTATTTTGAAAGTCAATATTTAAACTACTGTAGAAATTAATTTTATTTAATAATTAAAACTAAGCCCCTTCATTTAAATCAGTGTTTAATGTGAAGATTTTTTTAAAGTATTTTCATGTTTAGAATTAAGCCCCGAAGCGAAGCCAATGCATTGAAGTGGATCAGACTTTGCAGTGCTAGGGGGGATATGATCCTGTGGTTGCCTTAGCTTTTGCACAGAGCACATTCATTGTTTCATGGTGCTTCAGCCCTGTGCTGATTCTCTGCAAAAGAAGAATGTTCTCAAGCAAAAACGTGATGAAAACAAAGATCTAAAGTTCAAAAAAAATCTACAGAAAGACCACCAAGCATCTAGCAGCTCCTTCACATCTTGGGTAAGACTGCAAAAGAAAGTCATAAATACAGGCACCAAGGAGAGCTGTCTGACAAGCCAGGGAGGTCTCCAGTCCTAATTGTCCACTTGTCTGTCCATAGCCAGGACCGTTCTGTGGTTCATGCAGTGGCTAGTGCATGGGACAAATCACAGCAGCTTTTTGATGTGAGGCATTAACTGCAACTTGCAGCTTACAGTCTGGTGTATCACTGTAAATCATTAGTTTGCACACTAAATACATGACTTAGCAAGAGGCACAGACACCACGATTTTGTCTTCCATGCTACATGGGCAATGTCTTCTAACGTAGACAGTTGGAATTAGAAGGTGTGGTATTTTGCTTCAGAGCTGATCTGGAGACATCCTTGGGCACTTACAGACATATCCTCAGAGACAGCTACATATCTAAAACACAGCTAGTTGCGTAGTGCAGTTTTCAAAGCCCTGAAGATGAGTAGGCTCATGAGTCTCAACCATTTTCCAGAGTTGTTTCAGTGCGAGTTAGGCTGCTAGGTGCACTGCGTGCTTTCAAAAATCTCACATCACGCATTAGCTACCTGATGGAGCAGTAAAAACCAGTTACTGTAAGCCTTTAAAAGCTTTGATGGGATCTGGGCTTCTGAATCCATCACCAACTTTGTCAAATGTTGTCCCAGCTCCTTAGACTCCTCAGGAGGGCTGCTGGTTTCTGTATTTTGAGTTCTAGCTGAAAAGGCACGTTTGGAAGCATCTGTTCTAACTCGTGCTTTATTAACTCAGGTTTTATGCTGCTGAAATCATATGTGGTCTGCAGTTCCTCCATTCCAAAGGGATAATATACAGGTAGGTTTACTCTTCAATGTCTAATATGCTGAACTTTTTCTGCTTTCCCTGACCGATTACTCTTTGGGGGTGCTTAGTGGTATTGTGGTTCCAAGCAGATTTTGTTTTTGTAACGTCTGCCTGTTTTATTTTGAAGAGAGAGCGTGGGGAAAAAAAAAAAAAAAAAGGCAACTTCAAGCCCTTCTTGAGAATTCAGTCCTGTTTGTGTTGACATTAAAGCACCTCTCTGATGCTGGTACATTAACACTGAGTCATTCACATAACAGCCAGCATAGGCACTCGATTTAAGCTTCTCATGCATTAAGGTATATAAGGTCAACCTAGTCATGAGAAATTGTTTGTCTGCTGTGCTAGGTACTCTGTAACAGTGGTGACAAGTGATATATATTAATCTGGGGGCAGATCATGTGTTGATCCATAGGAAGGTTTGGGGATTCTAGTTAACCCATGGATTGGAATTCATCTCTCCTAACATCAGGAATCTGAGGTCCAAGCTCTCTTTGTAGAAAGCAGAAAGAAATTGACTTTTTAGGTGATGGTTCATTAGAGCTGTTCTCTGATTAATCAACTTGTGTCTGAGAAGTGCTACCAGCTAAATGGAGCCAGCAGGGCCTCAGTTAGATGCTGGAGGCAACTCAGCTAGAGCAGAGGATTCCTGTCCCAGAGTTCTGGGCATGAACGTTGTCCAAAAGGACTCAATCCATCAAACCCTGCAGAGGAAAAATGCCCTCCTGTAAAATTACCCATCCAAAACTTCCACTTGACTTCCCTAAGAGCTTCGATGCATGGATGCTTTAATCTAATGCACAATGATTGTATTTCAGACCTGTATAAGAAGAGAGACAAGATGGGAGCAGTAGAGGCTGCACATATGAGATCGTGGTCTGTTTTCCCATGCATAAAGGCAGTAACTGAGTTTATGTGAAGCTCTACTCCAATGCTTTAATCTAATGCACAATGATTGTGTTTCAGACCTGTATAAAAGAAGAGAGACAAGACGGGAGCAGCAGAGGCTGCACATATGAGATTGTGGTCTGTTTTCCCAAGCATAAAGGCAGTAACTGAGTTTCTGTGCTCTAGTCCGTCTCTTCTTCTTGGGAAAGTTAGTTAGTACATTGCAACCTTTTGTAAAATAAGGGAGCAAGCAGATTGTCAGAGGCTCAGTAAAGCAGCAATGTTTGCTGAAAGTGAAATCAGTTTATTTCAATGTTTGTCACGTAGGATGAACATTAGAACAAATGCTGGAAGTGAATTGCTTGTTTACAATCTACTCTCATGTTAAAACGCAAGCTTTGATTTATATAAACTCTCTTTATTATTCGTTATTAGTACTCATGTGGGAGCAGTTCATAGTCTTTATTGACCGATGATGCTGATTGCATAAACATGAGATCAATATCAATAGCATTAAGCTAAGATGATCTCTAGGGTCTCAGTGAGTCTCTGGCTCTAATCATTGTACTGGATGACTAAAGGGAAACATTTTTGGAAGAGCCCAAATCACTTAACCACATCTGTTGTTTTTACTCAGAGTTCTTAGAAAAGTCATTTAAAAATGTATGTAGGATATTTTGAATTCTTGATAGGACTGTTATCATCACTTTTTGGTTGTAACCGACATTATTATTTGAAACTGCTACATCAGCAGTGTGTAGGAGTTCAGATTCAGTTTCAAGGTTCTGCCATGCAGTGGTCTGTGTCAGAATATGTGTCCCATCAATATGACCCTTTCCTCATAAGAGGAGAGAGATCCTGGGAATCTGGAGCCATAGCTTTTGCTGGGACATGTGGGCTAAAATGGGGAAGTTGGCCACTGGATAACATGGTGATATGAAGGAATAGCTCCCAGGAATCCCAAGAATCAGTGTGGCTTGGATTTCTATATCAAACTTCAATAGAAATGAATTGAGCAGTCCTACTCCTTTTCCCTTTTCTTCACTGGAGACAGTGATCAAAAGATCACTTGAGAACTCACTCACAGCTAATTTACACTTAGGAAAGTGAGCAGAAATTATTTTCCTTGTATTCATTTTTATTGTATAATGTATACATTCCTTGTAATCCATGTGATATGGCAGTAGTCATGAGTCCAGCTGTTATGCTTCATGCACCCATGTTCAGGAATGTTGGCTTAAATTTTAATGAATAACCCCAAGTTTTGGCAGAAACTGGTGCAACCCCTGGAGCCCAGGAGTTTGAGACTCATCAAAACAATGAAATGAACTGTATATGATTTGTTTTTCTTCAATATTCCAAAAGAATAAAAGTAGTACTGGCAGACAGAGATTGATCTTCATGGTGTGACTGGAATAATTTATTCCATCTGGAAAGCGTGGCAACATAAATATCTGCCACTTGGAAAGCAAACAGTGTGGTCATCTCTATGTTCTTCTGTTTACTGCTCTGTTTGATCAATGACTCACCTTTTCTTCAGCTGTAACCTAGCAGCAAGGAACAATTGCCCCATAAGAGCAGTTTAGTGTGTGAACATCACAAGGTCTCACTCTCTGATCAGCACCTAGGCAAACTGAGATAGGAAGCTTTGGATAGTGGGAGGTTACCCAGCCGTCTTTCCTGAAATTGTAGATGATCATCTCAGGAGCATCATGCATGAGAAAGCATCTTCTGTGGGGGAGTCAGATGGTCAAGTCCACTTCTGGAAAAAAAAAAAAAGAAAAAAAAGAAAAAGAAAGAACATCTAAGGCAGTTTTTACCAGAAGGGTAGCTAGATAAATGGTTTGAACTCTTGCCCAACATATGGAAAATATGTGTTGGCTGTGAATCAGTGAGATGTAGAAAAGACAACTATTTCCTCTGTTGTGGGCACAAGAAAATGTTATGTCAAGGTGCTTTGGGAACAGAAGCAGTGATTGATATCACAGGTTAGGCAGTGCAGGAGCGTGGGTGCTCTGAGATGCAGGTACCCAAACTCTTCCCACATCTCATGTGAGGTGGGACATAATTGATATGAACATCTCTCTGGGTCATTCTTTCAGTGAAAATAAATATGTTTAATTAAGATATAAACCATATAGCATGGAAACCATGCCAGCCTCCCTTTTTTTCTGCCTCTTTTTCTCTGTATTGCTTTACTTTTCTTTCAGAGATTGCTGCCACATGAGGAATTCTTTGTACTCTGTCAGTGGCTGTGATTCGTGAGCTGCCTTTTATTTCCTCCTGTACACATTTCTTTTTGTCTCTTTCTGTAGACTCTTTGCTTTCCTCAGCAGCTCTCAGAACATGAAACCTTTGAAAACAACTTGACAGATACATGTGAAGGACTTTGTAAATCCCCAGGGTTCAGAGAGCACAGTCCAGAAGTGAAAGGGGGGTGAATGTCCTGGGTTGGTCTGACCTTCTGCAAGACACACAAGTCCCTTTTTTGCTCCAGATTTCATTAGAGCAGAAAGGTCATCCTGAACAGGACACCTTTTAGCTTCACTGTTCTGCGCCCTCCAAGGACACTGCTTTTAGCAGATATTTTGGGCAAAGTCTTCTCCAACAAACAAGATTGTGCTGAGGCAGAAGGTATGGGGAAGAGACATATTGAAGTCCAACAAATAGCAGCTTCTGCTTTAGTCCTCAGCCTCTCTCTGTAACTAAAACACACAGACACTGTGCAAATGCAGACAGCTAATTAAGGACTGTTAGTTATGGATTGTGCTAAACTAACCTGTGTGTCTCTATAATATCTGAAAAGGAGGATGTTTTCTCTGTCCTTTTCTTCCTCCACAGAGACTTGAAGCTAGATAACGTGCTCTTGGACAACGAAGGGCACATCAAAATTGCCGACTTTGGAATGTGTAAGGAGAACATGTTTGGAGATGCAAAGACGAGCACTTTTTGTGGGACTCCTGACTATATTGCTCCTGAGGTAGGTGTAAGGCCTAGGGAGGTCAGCAAGCTTCTGTGACTGAGACAGAGGACACATGTAAAGAAAGGTTTGTTGGTCAGTGATGGGGGAGAGTGTAAAGTATAAGAATTTGCTTTTGAGCAAGGAAGAATTTGCAACTGGATTTCAGTTTGGCTACTTCAGGGCCCGCTTTGCTGTCTGTCTTTTCACATTTGTGTGGCTAATTCTCTTGTTGTGCACTTGACCATGGGCCACAAGCAAGCTGTGTTTGGCATGCCCTGGAAACAAAATTCTTAATGGAAGTCCAGTTTGGGCTGTGGAAGAAGCATGTCCAAGAGGTAGGTCGTGCAATTCAGAGACAGAAACAGTACAAGGAATGGGAGGCATATTACTTAGTAGGTCTCCATGTCTCAGTTACCTTTTCAGACTCCTTTATAGCTGATGGAATGCTCTGGGCCATCTTGCCTAATCCTCATTTAGAAAATAAGGAAAGGTGGGACAAAATGCTCACCTGGGGCTGATTTTCCTTACTGAGAATGGAGAGAGAGGTGGGGCCCATGGTAAGTCTGTGATGGGGCTTTGTCTTCCCTCTGGGATATGCCCCAGTGCTTGAATAGGAATGACAACAGCGAGCATAGGTTTTCCTCTCTCTCTGAAAGATTCTTGTCTGGCTGCAAACACATTCATCACATCACAAAAGTCCTCTCAGAGCTGAATCTCTCACAGGTTGCAGACCTCTGAAATCAGGTACAAGTTTAGAGGTCTATGTTAAAAAAAATAATAATAAAATAAATAAAAAAAATAATAAAAAACACCTCATAGTTACAGCTACTTGTAGAAGGGATTGAGATGATTGGAACACAGGGGTGTTCACACACACTGATTGTTCCCTGTTCCCTCCTCTGTTGTTTCCTCAGCAGCCAGAGGAGATGTGTTACTATCTACAGGACAGCTAGTCCTGAACCTGCTAACTCTGGGCTGGGCTCTGCGCTACCCTGGGTACCAATGTCTCTGCTTTGGCTGAGCAAGGTTCCAGAGCACCCGATGCTCATGCTTGAATCCCTCTTTGAAGGACATGTCTCCACAAGCTGCCTCCACATGAAGGAGGCTCTAAGTTTGGAGGCAAGATTGTTGTTCCAGGTTACGCTTGAGCTAATGAGGGCAAGGCAGGGTCCATAGCCTGGGTCAAGGTCCTGCTGTGCCCTTGGGACTCAAGGTGTTTGTGCTATGCGTGAGGACCTGAGGCTGGGGCTTTCTCGGAGATAGTCTCCAAAACTTTTTTGCGTGCCCCAAGCAATAAAGCTGAGTAGTCACAGACACCAGTTTGTGCGTTACTTTACCCTTCCCCTTCTTCCCTTACCATGTTCTACTTACACAGGGGCTTGATCTCATTTTCTTGCTCTAGTGCATGTAGATATTTTGGAGTAGATCCCTCCAGAAAAGCACAAACTGCCTTTCTTGGTGAAATAACACAATCACAAATCTCACTGTGGATAGAGCTGGACCAGTTAGGTGGCAAACTGGACCAAAGAAAACATTTTTTTGGCTCCGAGAACCAAGTCCTCTATACATCATGTTAACATCACTCCAAACTATTTATTTATCTTTCTAGATTCCATTCCCTGATTTTAGTGTTTTCACAATGCATATCACTGCTTGCCAGATGGCTTTTAAAGCTTTTGCTATTTTCTTCTCCACTGTAATTCATTGATCTTTTACTGCACTCCAAGGGCTCAGTTCAGATCTAGGGTACATCACTGTTGACAATAGGGCAGTTTTCTTCAACCTGTTGGACTTCTATTGCTTAAAAGCAGGCATAAGTGTGTTCTCCAGTCAAACTGCAACTGTCTTTTATTCCAATTCTAATTCCAATACTCTACTTTAATGTTCTTTTATTTAAAAAGATAAACACTTTTTTCCTCGTCCTAAAACAGAGCCAGCTGATAATCCACTTTACTACATAGAGGAGAGAGAGCTTAAAATAGCTGTGAGCATCTTTTATTTAAAAGATTCAATGAGTACTTATAAAACTTTCTCCCTCCAAATTGAAAGCTCTGCTAGAGTTTATGGATCATCCCTCCCGTTAAAGGTGGAAGCACAGAACTTTTTTCAGTATTTCAGTGCAGCTGCTAGGACTGTGATTTGTTACAGGTGCTGCATGTTGGCTGCAACTATGCAAATAAGGGAACTTGGATCAGTAGACAAGCAATGTTAGAATTTCAAAAGTATATATTAGACAAAAATGTTAAACTGAAATAAAATTTCTGGAGTTTATTTTTTTTTCACAGAGAAATGCAGAACTAATAAATATTTTCGTAAGCTGTCATAAACCACTTAATTTCATTTTCTAGGCATTTTATACTTAAAAAATAAGGCCTTATAAAAATGTATGCCCTTTCAGAAGGCATGATCTTGTTTATAAGCAGAATAGAGGAAAAATACTAGAGAGTTGGTGTTTCCTGTCCACCCTCTCCTCTTCCCACATGTGAATAATATTGCTTATTTTGCACCTTATATTCAAATAACTCAAAAGTTAGTTGAATACCCTTAAATCCAAATAACTTTTGCCCTACACAAGAGTAGGATATGTCCTATCTATCTGTCTCATTTTGGATACAGATCTGTTATTCATGTCTGCATGAGCTTGGCCTTAGATATCTGTGATTAAGGCCCTGTTTTAATAAATGCCACACGTATACCAGAGGTATTAATGACATATCTGAAATGAAGCATCAGGTGAAATCTTATAGTCTTATAGAAAGGGAAACATCTACAGAAGACAAGTCATCTGATCCTACCTAATGTGTGTAAATAGCCATTCTTTCCCCATTAACTGTACAGAGACCCTGGATAACAAGTTGAATAGACACATCACTTTTAGATGATAAGAGAGATGAACCCGGGCCCACGTGGCAATCTTAAGGCGTTTACAAGCAATGTATGAAGCAAAACAGTCAAGAAACAGCATATGAGATGATATTGAGAGGACAGATCAGCAGTCGTTTTCTCCTGTTTTTCCTGGGACAGATTTTGTTGGAATAGGAGCATTTCCATTGATCCTCACTCACCCTCAGTGCACCCTCACAGTGACAAACCTGTGGGTTTGAAATACATTTTTTTTTTAATTAAATGAGTCCCCAAAGGCTACCTAGGCATCTGACTTCTCTTTCAACAGTGGAATTCACAAGCCTGATGTGAACTGTTGATATAACTTAGAGAGCCAGCTTGCTTGAAGACTCTCTTCACGTCTGTGGTAGCCAAGGATTTGTTAAATTAGCTTAAAAGTAACCAGTAAAATATACTTAGGACTGTTTTGACACGGGACCACAACATCTGCACCATTGGTTGTGGGCAGGACCACTGCAGTGATGCTCTACTCTAACTCACTGTTTAGGCTGGGAAAAACACTTTGCTGTCCATGCAAAGCAACTGCTGGAGAATCAGAGCCTGTCCACCTTTCTGAAGTGGAAATACTCATGTCATACATTTCATGCCTTTGTCACTCCTTTCTTTGGGCAGATTTTGCTGGGGCAGAAGTACAATTCCTCCGTTGACTGGTGGTCATTTGGTGTCCTCCTATATGAGATGCTTATTGGCCAATCTCCTTTCCACGGCCAAGATGAAGAGGAGCTTTTCCAGTCTATCCGCATGGATAACCCATTTTACCCTCGCTGGCTTGACAAGGATGCAAAGGACATTCTGGTGAAGGTAAGAATTATCAAATATCTAACATGTTTTTACCAGAACGGTCATCTTCATCTGTTCAGAGAAACGGCTCTAGCATGATAGGAGTAAAGTGAGTCACCTTCCTGTGTGTGGCTCTCAAACCAGAGATGGAGGTTCAGAGATCACAATGAAATGATAATAATGAAAGCATTTGTTCTATGAACACCTACCACAGCAAACAGAGATTTGAGGTATCTCTTTATGGGACATACAGTGCCATCGTCCTACACAAACAACTTGCATGTCTGCTAGTCAGGGTTAGAAATGGTAATCATCTTTACACCACTCACTAAACTTCTTTGTTCAGGAAAAAAAAAAATAAAGAAAAAGGTTTTCTCTATTATGGGATATTCTCATTGTCATTGACCCTGTAGAGTTAAATATTCAGTCTTGCTAAAGTCTGCCAAAACTCAATACCTGTTTCTTTTCAAATAGGCCTTCAACTGGCAGTAAAGCGGATTTATTTGAGGCTACTTTGGGCATTAGTTGTCTGTATTTGTTCTTTCTTGGGTGATAACTACTGTTTGTTTTCTCATGCCCAAATGGCGTAGCAGAAAACTTTTAACGTGCATAACACACAATTTTAGGATGACCTAGGTTTTGAAAATACGCCCTTAATTCTGAAATAGGATATGCTGGCTGTATGCAGGCCACCGCCTATCAGGTGTGGCAACCATTCATCTCCACTGACCTTGGAGAAAGCTAGGACCTGACACTGTCCCAGCCAGCTAGTCCAGAGGCCCCAGGCATCATATTGCAGATCTAAAGATAGACCTTTCCCTATTCGTATGTACCATTACAGCAATGTTTGAACACTATGTCCTGCTCCCAACCATATACAAGCACTTCAGAAGCATTTAGCACTCCTGTAATCTTCACCAAAAACTATTGAGCTATTTCTGGAGCCAAGTAGTTCCAGCATCACCATGAAAGTGTCTATGACAATACAGGCTATACTAAGGTGGAAAGCTGGCTCAGACTTAGCTGATGATGAAAACATACGCCTCCAATTCTGTTTTTTTTCTTATCTTTACCAAGATTATTCCTCCATGGGGCTTGTAGTCTGCAGCAAGCACAAACTATCTATCAGAATTGGGAATCTTTTG